GTTTAAGGACCTAGGACCTGTTGTTATTCATGTGAAGACCCATTCCCTGCCCCCCCCCTTTTTTTTTTGGAGGATTGAATCTTGCTGGTGAGGAGCAACTTGCATCCTTTACCCAACACTGGCTTCCCAAAAGGGGGGCTTCCCCAAGCCCCAACGCCGCTCCAGAAGTGGTGCAAGCAATGGAAATGCTAATCACAGGCATGGTGCAAAGTTTTGCAGATGGAGGTCAAGGATGGATGCACCATATGATGAATCGCCTTAATGCCCCACCCCCTACCTCCCACGAACCATTCATGTCAATGGTTCAAATGCTTCCTTTTATGTGACCTCTGCATTTGGCCCCAGTCAAAAATGAAAAGGACTGGCAATAGCTGAGTGCAGACCCTTGCTTGGGTCTGTTGTGCTTTGCAGTTTCCCTGCAGAGCTTGTCTTGCTCTGTCAGTTACACAGGGAGCTGGCTGCTGGGACCACTTAGCACCATCCCTGCTGTGTCCCGAGACAGCTGAGGCTTCCCGATGGATCACATCCCCGAATGGGGGAGTGACAGAAAAACCTCAAAAATGTCTTTATGATCTGTGACCAGTAAGTGTTTGATTTGTATGCCTGTTGTATGTGCCTAGATACATATACTTAGATACCCAGGGCTGTAAAAACAATTTCTCAGGTAAAGAGGGGTGGCAAGTGCAAGACATTTAAGACACCCTGATTTAAATGCTTTCTGTTTATTCGTGCCTTGCTTGTTCACGAAGCCCAGAGAGGTGAGGATGACGCTCTTCATCTACAGTGAAGACTTGCAGCCCAGAGAAGTAGATCGTTTTCCAAAGGGCACTGTCACTGTCCTCCTGTTGTTCATCGATTTGCTCGAGCGAGCCCAGTAACATCTCCATCGTGAGACTTGTTGTTGCTGTGTTTGGCATACTGAATACGTCACAGGTAGCTTGCCAGGCTTTGCCGTGAGGGCGAGATACTCTCGGTAGCTTGTCGGGCTCTCCGAGAGGGGCGAAGAAACCGAACTCGGCTTGGCCAGGCCAGCTGCACGCAAGGCAAATGCCCTACTGCTGTGCTAAGGTCTACATTTGGACTGGCTTCTGCTCCCATCTCTGTGCCCGGAGCCCCGACTTTGTAGGATCTCTAGGAGGTATGGCTTGGGGCTTGTCATTGACTCAGTCCTCTGCAGACATGTGGAATTTCACACCCACCTAGATGATTTATTCTGTTATAAGTTGGAGCGATAGCACAGCGGTAGGGCGTTCGCCTTACAAGCGGCCAACATGGCCGACCTGAGTTCGATTCCTCCGCCCCTCTCGGAGAGCCTGGCAAGCTACCGAGAGTATTCGATATGCCAGACACAGTAACAACAAAGTCTCCAATGGAGACGTTACTGGGCCCGCTCGAGCAAATCGACGATCAACGGGAGGGCCTTTACCTTTTACCTTACCTAAGTTTCACTTGGAAAAATGATTTCTGCCACAAGAATTATTCACTGGGGATTAGGTTTTCTCATGACTGTTTTAAAGCTACTATTTGGGGATACCATTTATGTAACATAGAATTTACCTGTTTGCAGTTAGCATCCATGAATTTAGTCACTTAATCACTTAAGTCACTTAACTTCCCGTTAGTCGTCGATTTGCTCGAGCGGGCGCCAGTAACGTCTCCATTTGTCCCTGTCGCGTGCTAGTGTAGCCCAATGGCATCTCTTCGCTCCGGGAACATGGAGGGCCTCAAACCGATCGTTCATGACCTTGACAAAGAAGTCTGACCATCTGGTAGGTGGGCGGCCACGCGGTCTCTTGACATCCCGTGGAATCCAATCAGTAACAGCTCTAGTCCAACGGTCGTCTTTAAATCTCATTACGTGACCAGCCCATCTGATTTTCGACACCTTGGCAAATGAGACAGCGTCCCTGATCCTTGATCGTCGACGGATGTCAGAACTCCGGATTCGTTCTCTCATTTGAGTGAAACGTGATATTCCAAGCATAGCTCTTTCTATTCTTCTTTGGGAGACCTGAATGGCGTTCTCATCTTGTTTGCGTAGGGCCCAGGTCTCTGAGGCATATGTTAATGCAGGAAGAACAGTGGAATCAAAGAGATGTGCCCGGAGCCGGAGGTTCTTCGTCCTCTTAGCTATTTCTTCGACGTTCTTGAAGGCGTTCCAAGCCGCTCTCTTCCTCCTGCGCAGCTCGGGTGCCAGGTCATTTGTCATGTTGACCTCTCGACCTAGGTACACATAGCTGTTGCATTCGGAGATGGTCGTTCCATTGAGAGCGAATGGGGCGTCAGGAACAAGGCTGTTTCTCATAAACATTGTCTTCGTAAGATTCAGCTGTAGTCCTACCTTTCCACACTCACGGTCAAAGTCGGCCAGCATTTGTGCCGCTTGGCTGATGTTTGGTGTTATTAAAACAATGTCATCAGCAAAGCGGAGGTGGTGTAGTTGCCTACCATCTATCTTCACTCCCATTCCTTCCCATTCCAGTCGTCGCATGATGTTCTCGAGGGTGGCACTGAAGAGTTTTGGTGAAATGGTATCACCCTGCCGCACCCCTCTCTTGACATCAACGATCACTTCTTTGTAGAATGGTGAGATCCTGGTAGTGAATCCGCAATACAGCTCACGGAGGATCCTGATGTATTGGGCTTGAATGCCCTGATTGGCTAGGGCTTCAATGACCGCTTCCGTCTCAACAGAATCAAAGGCCTTCTTTAAATCAATGAACGTTAAGCAGAGCGGCATCTTGAACTCCCGAGAAACCTCAATGAGTTTGGTTATCGTGTGGATATGGTCGATGGTGCTGAATCCTTTGCGGAACCCTGCTTGCTCACATGGTTGTCCTTCATCTAGTGTTCTGCCAATCCTATTCAGGATGACTCGAGTGAACAACTTGTAGATGACAGACAATAGGCAGATCGGGCGATAGTTGCCAATGTCATGGATGTCTCCCTTCTTGAACAGTAGTACGGTCCTGCTGGTTTTCCATTGAGATGGAACCTTGCATTCAGACAGGTAGCGAGTGAAGAGCCGAGCCAGTGTATTGATGAGTACTGACGGCAGGTTCTTCAGGTGTTCAGGTCTGACCTTGTCTGGGCCGGGTGCTGTTTGCTTCTTTACTGACGAAATGGCGTGTCGGATTTCGGAAGGGAGAACGTTGGGAACGACATACCCATCCTGTGGAATTTGGTATGTCGGCAAGTGGACATGGCTATCGAAGAGATTTGAGTAGAAGTCATGGATAATCTTCTCCATTGCCGTTCTGGAGGATGTGATGGATCCATCAGGACGTCGGAGGGCAGTCATCTTGGTCTTATAGTTGGCGAAGGACAGGCGGGCGTTACGAATACTTTTCCCGGCTTCTGCCGCATCTACCAGTACTTCTGCTCTTCTCTCTTTGAGGTCTTCCTTGATCGCATCTCTGCACTGCTTTGCAAGCTCGGACGTTAGCTTGCGGTTGCCTGAGGCATGCGCCAAACCACGCTGGCGAATTAGCTCAAGAGTTTTCGAAGATAGGCGACTTTTTGTGGCTATCTCTCTCTTGGCGTTCCTCGCACATTCATGGAGGTGCTGAACCAGTCGATCGTATTCCTCGTCAATGTTGTCAACAATGGCATCTTCCCATGTTGCCGCAATAGTACCAAAGAGTTCCCAGTTGGTGGTCGTTCTGGGAGTTCTCTTTTTGAACTTTGCAGCCCTTTCCCCCCGCTCTGTGAAGTAGAATTTTGCACGAAGGAGACGGTGGTCCGATCCCGTTCGAAATTTTGGGACAACAGCGACATCAGTCAGGCAAAACCGTCGATTGAATATGATGTGGTCTATTTCGTTGTGGAATCGTCCACCGGGAGACTCCCATGTCCATCGTTTAGATTCTGCCTTCTGGAACTGTGAGTTACCATGAATGGTCTTGGTCGACATGATGAACTCAGACAGTCTCTCACCCTGTTCGTTCCATTCTAGGCCATGGGTTCCGATGTGAAGTTCTTCAGCTGATCTTCTCGGTCCTATCTTGGCATTAAAATCACCCACAATGATCTTGTAGAAGGTGTGGTCTTCTTTATAGAACTTCTCTAGCTCCATGTAGAACTTCTCGATTTCTCTTTCATCATAATGAGATGTTGGTGCGTAGACAACGAAGATAGAAACTGCAGGCAGTGAGCCACATCTATTCAAATGTAAACGTCCGATTCGGGTTGTTAGGCATTCAAATGAATCAATGCTCTTGGCCAAGTTTGTGTTGACAAGGACACCGACGCCTCCAACACCTCTTTTATCGCATGTTCCGAGGAACAATTCTTCTCCAGTGTCGAAAACGGCATGGTGAGATTCGTGTCTTCTTGTCTCGGTCAGACCAATGATGTCGTACTTGATCATTCGCGCTTGTACCATCAGGTCCTCGATGGATGCATCTGATGCTAGCGTACGTGCATTGAAAGTACAGACGATCATTTTTGTCTTCCTTCGTTGTGGCAGCCTAGGTCGGCCTTGAGATTTTGTCGGCCTCTCCTTTCTCATCCTTCTCAGTGCTGCCATGTCGGTGAAGCCTTCAGGGTCAGGTGAATGAGACCAGTTGTAGTTACTGGTTTTGGCATATCGAATACACAGCGGATAGCTTGCCAGGCTCTTCCGTGCGGGCGGAATTCGATGAATTTAGTAAATGTGATTAAATTTATGTTGCCATGCCGGTTCTAAATGCACCCCCAGACATGTGTGTTACCAGTGGATGTCCCTTGTCACCCCCAGCACCCATTAATTGGTATACTGCCTCCATGCCTTTGCCTTTGCAGGACATTTCATGTAAATGTCATTGTGCATGGACACGGGGTCCTTTATTTCTCTTTTTGGCTTGGCACACAGGTTTGGAGGGACCTGCAGATTGTCGCATTGGTGGGGTCAGATAACTCTCATGTATGCCTCCACCCCTTGGGTTCGTCCACACACCAGCTGGGAACCCAAAGGATGAGCACTGTGGGTCACCCTCTCTCCTTTCTTCTCTGTTCCACAGAGCCAGGCAGCGGGCAGGTGTTTGTGACTTCGGAGAACCAGCTGGTATACTACCCCAGCATCACGTACGCCATCATCGGCAGCTCCGTCATCTTTGTGCTGGTGGTGGCGCTACTGGCGCTGGTCCTGCACCACCAGCGGAAGCGGAACAACCTCATGACCCTGCCTGTGCACCGGCTGCAGCACCCGGTGCTGCTCTCCCGCCTGGTGGTCCTGGACCACCCCCACCACTGCAACGTCACCTACAACGTCAACAACGGCATCCAGTACGTGGCCAGCCAGGCCGAGCAGAATGCCTCGGAGGTGGGCTCCCCACCCTCCTACTCGGAGGCCCTGCTAGATCAAAGGTGTGTGAAGCTTGGGGTGAGGGGGGCGGGGGGGTTGGGGGTTGGTGTTAGGGAATGGGCCCCAGTTCACAGAGGGGTTTTAATTTTTCATTTTACTTTATTTGTTAATTGATTGTTGTGAGATACAGTTACAAAGCTTTTGTGATCTGGTTTCAGTCATACAAGTGTTTCAACACCCATCCCTCCACCAGTGTACATTTCCCACCACCAGTGGCCCTAGTTGACCTCCAGCCTGCCTGCCCCTGCCTCTGTGTATGGCAGGTGCTTTCTCTCTTTCTCTTTCTCTCTCTCTTTCTCTCTCTGTATCTCTCTCGCTGTCTCTCTTTATCCCCCCTCCCTCTCCCTCCCTCCCTCCATTTGGCCATCGTGGTTTGCAATACAGATACTGAGAGACCATCGTGTTTGGTCCTTTACTCACTTTCAGATCTCTCTCTCTCTCTCTCTCTCTCTCTCTCTCTCGTTCTCTCTCTCCCTCCCTCCCTCTCTCCCTCTCACTCTCACTCTCATTCTCACTCTCCCTCCTCCATTTGGCCATCATGGTTTGCGATACAGATACTGAGAGTCCATCGTGTTTGGTCCTTTACCCACTTTCAGACACATCTTCCAGGGGGATGCCACACCTTGAGGGGAAGGTGGCATTTTGCAGGATAGACTAGTCTCCAAATGTTCAACCTTTCTTTTCCCTCCTAGCAGGGAACTTCCAGGGCAGTGGCCCAGGCTCTCCTCACAGAGATGTTAGGAGTGGGTGCAGAACCTTACCCACTCCTTTTGGCTTTTCATTGGGGCATTTGGTGTGGAGTTAAACTGCTGAGTCTGCAGGATTGGAGACATGGTGTGGGGGTTAAGGAACATGCCTGGCACATGTCTGATCCAAGTTCTATCCTTCTAGTGCCATCAAATATTTTCTCATGATATGTGATCCTTGGCAAATCACAGACCTTGCCTCAGTTTCCACCCCACTGCCCACAGGATGTTGGAGGCATGACACCTGACTCAGCCTTCGGAGGAAAACCAATAAATGAAATGTCTTTTCTGATTTCTGTGACCAGTGAGCTTTCTGGAAGAACCCCCAAATTCTGTGAAATGTCAGAGGCTCCATCAAAACCCCTGCCCTGTCTCTCAGCCCCTGTGGCTTCTGACTGAAGCATGGCACCCCCACACTGCATTCACCCAGAGGCTTAATCACCATCCAGTCAGCCCCAGCCAGTCCAGGCACAGAACTGGGGATTGGGGGAGGGGGTACGTTGCAGGTCACTGTTTTTGCAGCTCCCAGGCTTGATTTGGATTGGGAGGGAAAGCCGCCTCCTTCCTCTTCTTCTGCAGTTGGCTCTAACGCACTCTTGTCCCCCTCTCTCCCCAACCTTCCTGTCTTTTCTCTCTGCAGACCTGCATGGTATGACCTCCCTCCACCACCCTACTCTTCTGACACGGAGTCCCTGAATCAAGCAGACCTGCCCCCTTACCGATCCCGGTCAGGGAGTGCTGACAGTGCCAGCTCCCAGGCTGCCAGCAGCCTCCTGAGTGTGGAAGACCCAGGCCACAGGCCCAGGCAGCCCAGCCCTGCCGAGGACGCCACGGAGCCCAGGGACTTAGTGCTCAGCGCAGGCCCCGAAGAAGAAGTATAACATCCCGGAACACACAGTGTCCACACGGGTTCATCTGCTCTGACTTGGTACCTTGCTGACCACCTGCACTCATGGGAAGCTCACTCTTCCAGGTGCTCAAGGAGCGATGAGGAGCAGGGGGACATCTCTCTATTCCCCTCCTCCCTCAGATTTCAGAGTTGTTCTTTAGAGAGCGACCAGTATTTTTTTTCTTTTCTGACCTTGGTTGATAACCGTGTATCTCGGCGGCAGCGGGAACCCCCAGGACCACAGCTTGACTTGACACATTCGTCGGAACCTGGCGTTGGAAATAGCCCACGGATTTTCAGGCCATGGGATAAAGGGACTTTCGGTCCCCCTTGAGAGACAGTGTTCCTGCACCTGTGTGGATGCTTCTTGGGGGATTGGTCCTGTCGAGTTCCATTATAGGGGCTGTGGATAGAGGTTCCTACCCGGAGGCATCACGGTTGGCCAAGGACTGGGCCCTGCTGCCAACACCACATCGCAATGAGTCTCGCCAGTGCTTTCAGTTCGGCCAAAGAAAACTTCTATCTTGAGTTACTGCCCCTTTGGTAACTAGCAGTGTCATTGTGATCCCTGCAGCCAACAACTCTTGGAGAGACTAGAAATGAGCCGGCCCATCCTCTCTGGGAGAGCTTTCTCTGGCAGCGTCAGTCCAGAAGAGACAGGAACCCCAGGCCATAATAAGAAATGAGTTCTCAACTTGTTAAATACAGGCTGCTCAAAGCCAGGGCCTGTTCTCTGGTTCTACAATCCCTTCCCTTGGGGACTAGATTGCCCCCACTTCTGGGAGTAATAGGGAAAAATACAAGCCCCATTGAGTTGGCTTCACATTGAGTCCAGCCCTTAGTCTCTACGTCCGAGTCTGCCTCACCCATTCAGAAGGTTTCCCAGGGTCTCTCCTATGTTCCCTTCACAGCCGGAAGTCTCTGATAGTCTGTGCCTTTGGACTCAAGGACACTGGTTTCTAACCCACATGGGACCTGGATTCAGTACCTCCCCGCCAGGGCTCCCAACTCTTGGGTTGCCCACACACTCTTGCCCAAAGCCCAGGACCCAATTTAGGGTTAAGATGAGATGAGGAGGTACTGAACATCAGGTCCCTCCTCACGGCCCGTGAGTTTCTTTCTCTAAGCAGTGTGGACTGTCGACATTCGGAGTCCAGATTCGCCTTGCGGACTCCATGCCCTTCTCCCCAAGTCTTTAAGAAATACATTTGAAACAGTGTGGTTTTGTTCTCTCACCCCCCTTCTAGTTAAGGGGTTATTTATATGTGTATAGAAAAGCTTTTTTTTTCAACTTTTACTGATATCCAAAGAAAGATGGAAGAGGAAGATTCCACCCTGGTCGCACTTCTTGCCGATGACAGGGCATCCGTCCAGCTGGCCTGTCTGCTGGGCACGCATGCGTGGTTGCACTTTGAGTTATAATTTATCGAATTCTTGGAGGGTGCAGGGAGGATGCCCTCTCCCTGGGTCTTCCAATCACTGTGTGTGTTGGCCCTCCTCTGTCCCCCGTGCTCCCATCCCCCCAGAAGTAATGGGGGAACAGGGGATATTAGCCACCAGCTGATGGGGAGCAGCAGCGTCACAAACAGGTACCGCCCCTCTCTGCAGCTTTTGCCCATTCGAGGGCTTCTTCCCACATATGAAGAGAAAACTCAGCAACCTCTTTGATGCGGATTCAAATAGAGCCTGCAGGAGGGGGGAATGAAGTGGATTCAATGATCCTGTTCTGTAGACTTTATCTTTCTCTATGTCAGACACAAAGGGAGTTGCAGGAAAGCTAAGCACTTGATTTTGTTTTTTTTTTTTTTGAAGTTAGGGAAACTCTTTGCTTTCATCTTTCCCTCTTAAAAACCATGCATGAGTTATTGGCAGAATAATCCATTAAAGAATGGCCACCAAAGTGTGGGAGAGACTCTGGCTGATGATTTCATCTCCTGTGAGTCAGGATGACTTTATTTCTCCCTCCAGTGGGCCCCCCCTTTCTGGTGCTCTTAAAGTTGTTTAGAGGTAGGGATTCTAATGTTAATTAATTGGGTTGGCATTAATCTCATTGCTTTTCTCTTTCCAAGCCTCTTAGGAAAAACAAATGGTTTTGGTAGATAAGGGAAGCCTGTTACTGTTGTTGTTTTAAAAGCAAACCCAAGAAACATGTTTTTTTAAAACAAACACAGGAAAATTGTTATTATAGGTTTGATTTTTTTTTAATGATTGATTTTTAAAAGAGATAAGTAGAACACCAAAGCAGCAGGGATTCTTTTGGGTTTTTCCTCTTCTACTCAAGATAGCAAATATGTGTCCAGGAATATTTTTTAAACTCCTTCCAACCAGAATATTTTTTGATACCTTGCCAATCCCAGCATCGTTGCTGCTCTCTGTTTCCAAATGAAATCTGTAAGTCTTTGGTGTTGTCATGAAAATAGCTTCACTGTGACCCCAGAGCTCATCACCGCCCCTCAACTCCCTCTTCTTTGAAATGAACGGGATTTTGTTTTTTTTTTTTTTTAATATACAACTCAGTGGTTACTACATTTTGTGTCGTATTTGAAGCTGATGTAAACTGGAAAGGCAATGTGTGGTTGCATTTTGATTTTAGTTAGGTTCTGTTTTGTCATTTTTATACTTTCAAATAAACTTGCAGTTCCATTCTTTCTATGGGGGTGAATGGTTCTTAAACACACTGGCTTCTCTGTGTTGACATGAAGGGTGGGGATCACTCCTCTCGTGGCTCCAGCAATGAAGTTGTGCCCATAACAAGGAGGAAAAACAAGAGTATATTGGTGGGACCTCAGAATCTGGACAGGTGGTTCAAAGGTGCCGGCTGGTGTGGTTTGAGTACAGAGGTGACCTCATGGAGAGCACCATCCTGACCTCTAGGGTTCCTTTCAGAAGATGAGTGTTAGTGGTTGCACTGTGAAGATGCTGGAAGGGAAAGTGTAAGAGATGAGAGAGCTGGAGCAATAGTGCAGCAGGTAGGAAACTAGCCTTGCACACGGCAGACCCTCGCTCCATCCCCCGCACCCCATATGGTCCCCCAAACCTGCCAGGAGTGGCCCCTGAGTGTAAGGCCAGGAGTAAGCCCTGAGCACTTCCCAGTGTGTCCCAAAAAAGCAACAAAGAAAAATGGTGAGAGCTAACATTCTAGTCACATACTCGGACTTACGGCTGTATAGGGGTGCTGGTCATTAGTTTTAACCCACAAATGGTTCTGATTTGCCCCGCCATTGATGAGAAGCTCTCTCTGCTCTTTAACATCTTGTTACAGAATTACAGGTTGACTAAAATCACACAGACAGATTCACAAGACAGTTAGGAGACCCCAGGACATTATCACTACCCCAACACCAGCTGTGAACAGAAGTTACCCTGACCTTGGCCAAAATTGAAAGTTACACAGTTCTTTAAAGCCAGAACCCACAGAACCACGCTTTCGATCACATACTGGTCCCACGTTTCACAAGGGAAGCTCAGCTCTCATATTCAGTGTCCAAGTAAATGCTGCGAGAGATCTAGAGCTGGGCTTCTCAATCTATGAATTGCAATCCCAGAAGCGATCATTTAATTCAGTGTAGGGGCTGCTAAAGTATCAGCAATATCAGTGTTTTCTAAACACTCAGCAAACCAAAATTAATCCAACATCAACCACTCAGTGAATCCAAGATGCTTCTGGCCGTGTTGTTTTTGCTATTCTCAGGCAAAAAGGATCACAAAGTGTTGAAGGGTCACATGGTTTAAGAAAGATCACAAAAAGGGTCACAATGTTTAAGAAGCTTTGGGCTGGGGTAGACTTTCCCAGCAGTTTGCTTCAAAGGCTTGTCATGATATGACTTCCTTCTGACCTCAGGGTACCATGTTTTTTGTGGCTGTCTGATGAAGATTTTCTGGGTGTCTTGATGTTTTGTGGGTGTCTGATAAAGAGATTGAGAAACCCTGATCTAGAGCAGAGATCAGCAAACATAGAAAGTACCAGGTAATTTTATTTTTACTGCAGCTGAATAGTCTCTGCATCTGTATACAAAAGTAGTCATGGAGAATACCTAGATGGATGGATATGGCTGAGTTTCAGTGAAACTATTTACTAAAGTAAGATGAAATTTTTTGGACTTGACCCATGGACTGTGGCTTGCCAATCCTTATGAAAAAAAATCATTCCTAATTGGGTCATGGATCCAAAACCCAGGCATAAAGAAAACAAAAAGAGTAATGGCTGAGAATAGTAGAACCCTTGAAATAGCATCAGCCACCAAAAATTAAAGTTAGAAATGCTTATAAAGTGAACGAGTCAAAGCCTTGTGAAATTAATTTTAATTGACCCTATTAACTCCTTTCCAGAGACTGAGAAGATGTAGGATAAAGAATAAGTGCCTGCACTATGCAGTCCTAAACAGCTTGATTGAATACAGAGGTCCTTGTTAAAAGCCTACTTCTGCTGGGGCTCCTCAAGGGTGATGATTGGCACATCCTTGTTTTAGAGAAAAATCCATGGGAATGATTAATCTGAAAGAGCATCTCCATTTTCTTCTGTTAGCTTGCCACCCTTAGAGAAAACAGTAGGTGCAATGAGTAAAGGCTGAAAAACAGATGCTTTAGAAGGCCTTGGTGGAATTATGTGTGTGTATGTGGGGGCGGGGAGGGGAGACAGACCCAAGGAGACCAAGAGAAATGTTGAGAAAACATACCATACTTCTTAAAGTCCTTGGGAACCTTAAGGAGGGGGCTGAAAGACAGCTCAGAGGACTGTTGGGCACAGGCAGAAACTAAAAACCAAAAAATATTCATCTCACGTATGCTTCATTGTGGTCTGAAGAATGTTTCTGACTGATGTAGCGAAATCCAAGGGTGTGAAGTAGTTGGTTTCAGGCAGGGCTGAACCTAGGTATTCACTGCTGCTCTTTGAAAATCTGTTTCTCCCTTTTGAGTACAGGAGTCATGCTTTACTCCTTGTTGACTCCATAGCTTTATATTAACCCGAAAGAGGATACCCAATGATCTAGAGTTATCATTTCAGAAGAAGACAAAATGCTGTCTTCCCAGAGACAAAGACCCTGTAACAGACCTGTGATTGATTGTCTTTGGTCATATGACGACTAGAGTGCTTGAGGACTCTG